TCCTTATTTCATCACGAAAAGATGGCATCTGTAGGTGAACAACCAGACCTGAATGTCGCTGAAGATGCGGTTTTGCGTTAATCGATGGTTCTGCATGATCATCACTTTTCATAAGGAGATTTTATCAATTTGTGGAATTATTTCAGGAATTTGACGGTACCGATTCAGGCGCTCGACCAGATGAGGCCGTTACTTGGAGTAAAATTCGGGGTGATGATAAGCATTGCTAAGTATTACTAAGATGAGCATCACTATTCGGCCAACCTGAGAAGACCGAGTGTTTCAAAATGGTGACCCTCAACCTGTCATGCTAAGATCAATACAGCTATTAATCTGAAATCCAGTAGGTGGTATAATTTTCGGATTCACGATGTGACATTTCGACATCAGGAAATATCGCAGTGTTCATATGATTGATTGGGGTGAAGAATCGAAGTCGAGGAGCAAAAGGGGACAAAATATCCGATTGAAAGTTGAAGGCAAAAGATTGTGAAAAGCAATTTCGGTGCTTGCCATTTTATGGCAATTTGAATCAGAGGACATGTCTTGCTGATAAATGAAATGCGTGACTTTGGAATCATCGGCGAACTGAGAGCGTTAAAATGCGAGGAACCAACGTTCACGAAACGTCCTAGGAGTGCTTAGTCACGCTCACAGGGCAAGTAACGGAAGTAGTGTGTCCGGGGTTAAATGGCTACGGTGACTAGCCACGCCCAAAGTTAATGCATCTAATGGGATTAGTACCTTCAGAGTTGAATGATTACGGTAACTAGCCACGCCCACAGTTAATGCAACCGACGGGATTAGTACCTTCAGAGTTGAATGACTACGGTAACTAGCCACGCCCACAGTTAAGACAACCAATGGGAGCAGTCCAATGAATTCATATCTATTAAAACAACCTCCTTCTAAACAGGACTGAAATCAACCGATTTATTATAGTACTTGTAAGAGTAATCGCTCACTTCCGCTTCAAATCAGCAATTCTCCATTTCAATTTGCATCGTTCTTGTGCGGTTATGTCCACGAATTACTTCACTCAGTTTTTGTTTGATAGGAAGAAAGATGAGCGTGTAAAATCAGAAGCGCTGTCCATATACCGTACATGACGTTGACACGAAACCTCGCCCACAGCATCCGAGGAGAAATGCAGAACGTTTTTTCGATGACACACACTCTAAACACAAGAAGAAATTAAGCAGAAGTCATAGACGGCAGCCCTCTGTGCATATCTCTAATTATCAAATACTGATGGTTGTTGTATTGCTTTTCAATTCCTATTCTGTGTTAAAGAACATTTGAAGAATTGTCTCTCACAAACTCTGTTTCCTTTTAAGAGAACTCATCATCCTATTCGAAACTTCGCATTTGTTTCTCCCTACCATACCGTCATGTTTTTCGAAACGATCTGAATCATTCCTCCAGATTTGTTTTAATATGTGTAAGATATGTGTGACGATCTTCTCATGAAATGTTCGTCAATCTATGATTAATCAGTTTAGTCATACTATACCCCTAACAGTGTGTTGCATCAGCATATTTTTAAAACTGCTTTTCAAATCGATATTTCAAAAATCTTTTCAGATTCAAGTTTTTCTTTCCCAACTACGATGAAAGCAATCGTGATAAGACCACAACCTGTACAGGAGCTGAATTCCTTAAAACTTATCGTCACCAAAACTACAACTACTGCCGCCATGGCAATACTAAACCGGTACTCGTCGATCCTTGCAAGTGATTTCGGTGTGATTTGTAGTAACACGCGGAAAAACGTTTATGCAGCTGTCGCGCCACGCACCATTAATATTTTCAAATTTATCCTAATCTCAGCAAAGTTATGAGCTTACGTTTAGGCAAGAGCTTCAAACCTGAGCCTGTCCCTATCATGCAACATCTGGATAGTTTGTGCGGTTTCTCTGCGCACTTTGCAACTCTATCTCAATCATGGAACGCCACCAAACCATGCCTAGCAAGGATTCCCCTCATCATACCTGGCGCGACAGCATCAAACAGAATTATGAATGCACGAAAACACGAAATAATCGCATAAACAACAACGCGAAACAACTGCATGAACAACAACAACAGCAAGGGTACAATCGAACAAATATTCAATAAACATGAGAATCCAATGCTCATATCCAATCACAAAATCCCAAATTGGAACGAATTCTGACAAAATATCTTGAAAACGAAATCGAATCAAGTCAGCTGCAATCATTTCAGT